ATTATAAAAGGTCTCTTATATTGCTCTTATTTTAAAAAGTACCCATTTGTTATACAGATTTGGAAATGTGTCTATCTCTAAAAAGAAAGTTACAAAACTTACTGGTGTTACAATAAGATACTGCGACAGCAACAATAAAAAGGTAAGTATGAGAAGGCACATGTATTTTTCAGCCTGCACAATGGACATTATGATTCCTCTCTTTAAAAATAGCTGCAAATAATTTACGTATGAGATGCCAATGTCCCTCAATGATTCGTTATATGATAATTCACAGTTAATGTATACCCTGCTGTGAGCTATAGTTAAGACAATAGGAAAGTTCTCAACTGGGACAGGATCAGAGGTGAATAAGCACAGACAGACATGTTGAAGCACAATTTGCCAGTTCTGGTCCAGCAGAAAAGTTTGTTGACCAGAGTCTCTCTCGATAGTGATATGAGCAGTGTGTAAATTTAATAAATAAAATAAATGTTAGCATAACATTTTGTATCCTGGTGGCCAAGACCTATTCTGCCCCAACAGTGAGGCTGGTAAGTGGTGCCATCCTTTCAGTTTTAAGATGAAGCATATTAATGGAAGTCAGCGGAGTCTTAAGTTTCATTTTATCTCCTACCATCCTCACCTGCTGTCTAGAAAACACCCATGATTCTAATGTGGGGTGGGGCAGGGATGGGTGAGTGCAGAGGGGTCCTTAGAATGGTGGGTTTGGACACCTGTCAACTTGTCCAACTAACAGGTCACAGGCGTGCTTCCTGCCTGCGGTTGGTTAGTTGTGCTATTTCTAAATCCTGGAAAACTTGGGGTTGACAAAAAGGTGAGCTGAAAGTTCAGGGGCACAGAAGGATGAAGAGGAAAGCAGGAGGAAGTGTGGCATAGGGCAGGGCTTTTCAACCAGTGGTACAGGTACCACCTGTGGTACATTGGCACCTGGCAGGTGGTACGCGACCATCCTAGAAAAGTGGTAGCGGGGGAGGGGAATGAGCTGAACCGGTGGCAGCACCGCACAAGCCTGAGCGAGAGATGGCTGGAGCTGCAGGGCTGTCAGGGCTCAGCAGAAGCGCCACGATCAGTGCCGCTTTCCAGCTGATCGGTGCTTCTTTAGGGCTGTCAGGGCTCAGTGGAAGCGCCAGGATCAGCACCAGGCTCCAGCTGGAGCTCGGCACTGATCCTGGTGCTTCTGCTGAGCCCTGAAGAAGCGCCGATCAGCTGGAAAGCAGCACTGATCCTGGCACTTCTGCTGAGCCCAGAAGAAGCGCTGATCAGCTGGAATGTTGCAGCTTCTTCAGGGTCTTGTGATTTACATTCAGATGCTTGGCAACTGATTCATATTTATGACGGTCACAGTGTCCCAGGGTCATGTGAAGTGACCAAAACCTGCTACAACCACCCAGCAGACAGGGGGGGGAAATAAAAACCAAACATCCCCCACCCCACCCCCACTGCCAATCCTCAACAGAAATGCTCACAACAATGAAAACCTCGGACAGGAGGAAGAGCACTGCCAGGCGGGCAGGCAGGTGTCTTGCTCGGCTGTGGCTTGGGGGGCACTTTTTTCAGTGCCATTGTAACTTCGAACAGTCACTAAGCAAACTGTTGTAAGTCGAGGACTACCTGTACTTTATCACTTTTTTCCTTTTTTGGGGGGGGTCAAGTTTTTGACACCTTGCTAGGCGACTGGTGGTACTCGGATGTTGCCATATCCTAAAAGTGGTAGAATGGGTGAAAAGGTTGAAAAGCCCTGGCATAGGGCTCCATTCTATTTCACTCTGCACCCTGCTCTAAACCTGTGATGTGCCCACTGGAATGAGAGGAGCAGAAGAGGAACGGGGCGAAAAGAGAGAGAATGACTGACAATGAGCAAGTCCATCCTCAGCTAGTGCTACAAGGGAGCTGGCAGTGAATGGCTGCGGCTGATGGCATCTGGAAGTAGTTCTTGGAACGGGCAAAATGCTGCTTGCCCCAACAAAGGAATAAAACTGTAGCTACATAAAACTCCTTGTGGGCAGAAGCATTAGAAAGCATCTAATATACTCATTGGCTGACATAACTGACAGAAGTTGCCTCTCCTACTTTAAATTGACCTTCTGCATAGCCTGGGACTAGCACATTCTCAAGAGAAGATTGGTCACGTTTTTAAAACAAAAGTCCAGCGCTTCTTCAAAAAAGCACCCTGAACCTGTGTAAAGCTTGAGAAACAGTCTGGATTAGACTGATCTTGCATTATGTGGACAAATGAACGCAGGTGTCTTGTCTCTCCTTCAGCTGAAGCCAAAATGCTTATTGAGCAAGTGGACCCTCTTTATCCTAAAGCCAAACCGGATGGATTCCATCTCTGACCAGTTCAGCAACTACACCATTAGTAAAGGATGCTATGGCAGAAATTGTATCAGGAGATAGAAAATATCACAACTGAAACAACTAAAGGTGTTTTTAAGATGCTTTACTCTGTCATAGGAAAGAGATGAGGACAACATGGGGGGAAGGACGGGAGGATGTGCCCTACATTTTGGAAGGCAGAATAAGAGAAAAAGAATGAAGTTCTGCGTCCAATTCTCCAAAGCCATAATGGCTAACCGTAGGAACATAACAGAATAGCATTCTGCACATGGTGAGTGTTACTCTTTTCTCCAGCTGGCATGCATGTAAAAGTGCTAAGTTTCAGACTTCACTGGTTTCTATTTGGAGATTGGGCACTGATTATTCCTACTATCAATGACTACGATACGATATGGATCTGTATATTGAAATATATGTAAAGCTGGCCTTGTCATTTAAAACAAGTAAATTGGGGGTCTGGGTTTGCCATTAGAATAAGAAGACACTGACATATATTAAAATCACAAGTGTGGAAAAAGTGGCTTTGTTGTGATAGATAGGCAAATGTTTTAATTTGCAAGAAATTAAAGAAAATGAGTTAGTGAGCTGCGAAATATACAAGAATGTCTACCGGATTTAGTAAAAAATAAACTCAAGATGGAGGCTGCAATGGTGCAATTAAAATTCTGCCTGTTTTTAAAGTGTGCAATGCTGCCATCGACCATTTCTAACCATATCCTATGGATACTCCTATAAAGATCTGTCCTGGAAGTCAGGTACGGAACTAAAGCCAAATTATCCAGATCAAATAACGCCACCAATTCTAAAAAACTTGCAACTCTTGGGTTTGAAATCAGTTTCTCACTGACCTCAGATGTAGGCCATGGGGCATTCCATTGCAGCTGCATTTCTTAGAAGCTTTAGGAAATTCTGCACAGTTGGATCTACTACATCCAGTGCTGGGCAGTTTCTGTCTCATATTTTGCATTATTAAATTGTGTGCTACATGCTGTTCTGTTGTAACCATGCACGTACCGGCAGGAGCACGTACCAGGTAGGATTAATGGTGGAACAGATGTAATGGCACAATTTACACCAATATCTGTGTAGTGGAAAAGAGAATCTAGCAATATCAAGCAACATTTAATATAGTGGAAGTCTGGTGGCCTTCCTGTCTATGTATTGATAAAGACATTCTTAAATCAAAAAGAAGACTTGGCTAAAAATGAGAAGATATCAAAAATGCTAGAGTAATTGAAATAAATATTGGACTTTCCTTGATAGCCCAGCTGCAGTTTTGAATATATTCTGAGCATAGAAAATTCCTTTTCGAGGTTCTTTACAATAATTTTAAAAGAAGTATTACTGATTTAGTATAATTATTTGGGAATAGACGATTTCTAGAATTTCAGTTGTTCTCCAAACTGAAGCAAAAGGTGACTTCTGTTTCTACTAATTTTTGGATTACTGAAGTATTGAACCATTAACCACTTTGATATGTTGAATAATTACTTGAAGTACAGTGCTTCTTGCATGAAGACATGTCAGAATATGGTTTCAGAAATACATCTTCAACAATTTAGCAATCACAGTTTAGAACTTTTCAGATATGAACATTTTTGTTGAGAGTTACATTCATAGTCTACACCATAACTGGCTGGGGAACTCTGAAAGTTGAAGTCTACAGGTTTTTAAGTTGGACATTCTTGGTCTATACTCTAGTTTTACTTCAGTTTGTATAAGGCTTTTACATAGTCTACAGTACACTGTTTATTTCCTCAGCTTTACAAATCTAGGATTTTAATTTTTTCACTAATTTTTATGTAAAAATAAGAGCTTAACATAAAAGAATTTTTATGTTAAGTGTCCAGTAAGAGATCTGGAAACCTAATCTAATAAAGTTCCTAAATGATCTTCTCTCAATTCATGATGCTGTTCAGCTCCCTGTTTAAAATTGCATGCCAGACATTTGCCACTGACAGTCAAAAACAATTTTTTTTCCGGAGAGAGAAAGAGAGAGGGTGAGGGTTGAGAGAGCAATGTTCTTCAAGCAAGACTATTCCTGCAGCTGTTGTGTACATTAATCCACAGAGCAGATCTCCAAACACTAAATATAGCCAGCCGTATCATTTTACATGACACATTCTCTCTCTCTCTCTCTCTCTCTCTCTCTCTCTCTCTCTCTCTCTCTCTCTCTCTCTCTCTCTCTCTCTCTCTCTCTCTCTCTCTCTCCCTATTTCGCTCTCATGTAAACTCGCACACATTAGATTTTAAACAAGAAGTCATATTAATTAGAATTTAGTGGAATTAAGATAAATGGTCTGTGAGGGTCCATAATTAGGGATGAGGAAAATAATTTCAACTATGTTAAAAATCATGGACAGAGAAATAGATTTAACATCTGTGCCATTTCAATAAATCAGCATTCTGCTCAAAATAACTAAACATGCATACATGGGAATTTGAGGGGGGAGAATTTGGAACAACTCCTTTCAACACATACGAAGAAACACGTTTTTCATATTCTGAAGATTCTTCTGTTTCTATTTTAATCTGGTTTGACTCTGGGTAATATATCTACAATTATTAGCAATCTGACATATTATGGATCCCACCAACCCTCTGGGCACATGCGCCATTTCATCAAAACACCGTCCACTTTTGAAAATTAAATAGGTTACCTTTTCTAATTCCTCCAGATGTTGAAATCCAACCCTGGCACTCTGGCACAGTGACAATGATTCCTAAGTAAGAGATTAAAGTAACCAAAGTGATGGTGCTTCTTCAGGTTCTTTGGCACTGAAATAACTTGGAGTTCATCGGTCAAAAAATAAAAATTAACTTTATGTTTTGAGGGAAGATAGCCGTAAGAAGCTGGACAACCTGTCACGACTGAAGCAATAGCATTTGTCACTTTGCAGGTCCCAAGTTATTTTGAGACGTACAAACCATGTGCCTGTGGAACATTTCTCTTCATTGGACAGGGTAATATCGAGCAAAGGGATTTCACTGCTGTAGTGGTGGGGGATTTGAACATTTTCTCTCTCTCTTCCCCCCCCCCCCCCCAATCCTGGAATATTTTCCTTCAATGCTTCAGCATTCTTGCAGAACTCATTCATGAGAAAATACAAATTGAGTTTGGTATAGGTTAATGCAGAGTCATGTCAAATCAGGTGGTTTTATTTGAAAAGTAGTTAATACTGTACAGTAATAGGGTTTCTCTCCTCCTCCTCCTCCTCCTCCTTCCAGTTTGCTCAAATTATATATGACACCTAATCTTACTATCACATTACTTTCTAAGAGTATTTTCAAAGCTCAGATTGTTTCAGTTAGCTTTTTCCCACCCAGCACTTCTCTTTAGTGCAGGGGTCTTCAAACTTGGCCCTCTTATGACTTGTGGACTTCAACTCCCAGAATTCCTCAGCCAGGCACACTGGCTGAGGAATTCTGGGAGTTGAAGTCCACAAGTCATAAAAGGGCCAAGTTTGAAGACCCCCGCTTTAGCATAACCACCATATTGATTGGAATCCTGGGATTTTGGATGCTGAAACATCTGGAAGACAACCAGAGGAGTTTGAAGGAATTTAGGATTTTAAGGCTTCATAATCCTAAATTACATATCCTTGGGCTGCTCACAACATTTTGAAACATTAAAGGTTCATCCACATAGCCCAGTTAAAATACTAGTCCTTCATCTGGCAGAAAACTCTATTGGCATAATATATACTGTTCTCATCAGAGATCCCAAACCTGCCACTGGAACAATATTGACCATAGATACTGTCCTTCTTTACAACATGTAGGGCTGTGATTTGTGGATTCCCTTAGCCTTCTCTTTCTTCCCTCCTACTGAATATCACAAGCCATTGGGAAAACATCCACCAATCACTCTCCCTAACATGGAATGGAGGATAGGTCTACTATGCACTTAGGTATGGGTCCATACTGAAAAGTTTTAAAAAGCTGATTAAGTACTAGCCTCCAAGAATGTTAAGCTGCATCCATAATCAGCCCAAGCAACAGCCAGTAAGCATGGTGTGGATCGCACTGGGAAATAGTACATAAAAAACTGGCATTCTTTCTCCTGTTTCAGTGCACTGTTCTTATCCCTGCTGCCTTTGGCACTTTAGGCAGATTTGGTCTCTAAGCTGGGGAGCAACTCAGAGACTGGCTGGTACGTAGGAGCCATAGTAGTGCAGTAGTTAGAATGCAGTATTACAGGCTAATTCAGCTCAGTGCCAAGAGTTTGATACTCACCAGCTCAAGGTTGACTCAGCCTTCCCTCCTTCCAAGGTTGATAAAATGAGAATCCAGATTGTTAGGGGCAATATGCTGACTTTGTAAACCACTTGGACAGTACTGTAAAGCACTATGAAGCAGTATATAAGTTCCACTGTTACAAGAGGGAGACCTTGATCTGAAAGGCCTGGACCATCTCACTGGTCAAAGCAGACAGCAGTAGGAAAAGGTATGTCAACACCAAACTAACATGACCAGTGGATGCTGACTGATTCTAGCCCCAAAATGGTTAGTGAATTGTGACAAATTGCATATGTGGCGCAACTTGAGGAGGGGGAAAAACACCAACATAAATCTATGGCATAGTGGTTATACACAAGTAAAAGCTTCTAAGTTTCTTTCTTGTGTGCTCCAAAGGATGCACATCTTTAGGGGAAGGTTTGGTTGCTTATATATCCCTTGAAAATTCATCTGACAATCTGTTCGTCTTGCTCTGTTTCTGAGGCAGAAATATAATACCTACCTTACAAGCAAAGTTATACCTCTCATTACAGCCTTTATTATTTTTCTTTCCTATTCAGGACCTCTCAGGATGTGATTCAATATGGAGCAGCCATTTTTCAATTTCATTCCGTGGCATCTTCTGAATTTGCACGTTTAAACATGCTGACCTTAAAGGGGAAGATTCTGATTGCCCTACTAATCAATGGCCCTATAAACACCATGGAATGTTTAACACTTATTCTTTATGAACGTACATTTGATACTGAACTATTTACTTCAAAGGCTTAGAGGGTGATTTTGTTTATCCTGTGCAAGAAATGTAATAAAGCTACATCATTTAATATGATAGGCACCTCATCTCTTCTGGACCAATTTGGCCAGATCAAAACAATGTCAAGAGGGGAAGACAAGTCAAGACATATATTTGGGTTATGTCCTACCATTTGGGGGATTATGGATTTAACATAGCACTGCCTTGCCAGATGTGTCCTGGTGAACAGAGAGTGGCACATCACCCTCAAACATTACAGGAAGATAATTTTCTACTGACACAATCCAAAAATACTTTTTCTCAAGAATTCACAGCAGATCTTTTTACTTGTTGCTTTTTAGAACATAGTATACAACTTAGGGCAGGGGTCTTCAAACTTGGTCCTTTTGTGACTTGTGGACTTCAACTCCCAGAATTCCTCAGCTAGCTCAGTCATAAAAGGTCCAAGTTTGAAGACCCCTGACTTACGTGAAGATTTTGTTATAAAGGGATTGACATTGAATTCAAAGTTATTATGACGTGGAGAGCCAGTTTGGTAGGTGGTTAAGGCTTCCGTTGGGAGACCACTTAGGCACAAAGCTAGCTGAGTGTTGGCCAGTCACTCTCTTTTAGCCCTAGGATGGAGGAAATGGCAAACCACTTCCCAAAAAAGCTTGCCAAGAAAACTATTGGGACTAGACTAGGTAGATCCCAGGAGTCAAAAATTGACTTGAAGCAACACATATAACATTTGCCATTTTTAAACCTTTTTCTTTCTTGTTGGAACATTCTGTTGTGTGATACGCTTACCATTTTGACTTTTGAAAAAACTCCTGCAAATAACCCTGCCAAACCTATATCTACAATTTAGTTAGAAAAGCATGGCTATGCCCTCATCTAATAGCGGTAGTTCCTGATATTATAAGCCAAACACTTTCAAAACCAAACACATAATTTGCATGTTCGAACAAGAACCAGGATAGTTCTGCGCAGCAAGTGTCCACAAGAGGTCAGAGACACCGACATAAACTTACAGTTTTATATAAATAAACCTATTTTACATTTATATTTACAGCAGACAAGATAATCAGGAACACAGGAACATCATGAGGTAAATCTAACAGCAAACAGAGCATATAGAAGAAAAAAGGTGGAAAAAGGGAAACTCCCCCTTTACACCCATAGCAAGCAATCATAGTGTAGATTGCCTCATGCATGAGCCAGCACTCTCTAGACAATTGTGTGTCTGGCCCATTGTACACTTTAATGGTCCAGCTACTAAATTAAATATCTTAACATTCTGATTGGCAGTGGTGGGATTCAGCTGGTTCGCACCACTTCGGCAGAACCGGTAGCTAATTTTTTGTTGCCCAGGCCCAGAATGTACTTCCAGAAGCGGCATCCACACAGAGAACCAGTTATTCACATATTTTAATCCCACCACTGCTGATTGTCAACATCAACTAATTAAACTTAGCCTGAAATCCGAAACAATTTTCAGCAGTCAGGTATTTTTTGAGGAGCTGGATCATGCAAATGTGGCTTAAGTCCATGAAAGTTTTTGTTTTGGGTAACATGGTCTCTTTTAAGCTTTTTTCCCTTTATCAAAAATATTTATACCTATCCTTATATTAAAGGCTGCTAGGTTCTAGGTTGCCAAAACAAAGCTGATGGATATTTTGAACTGTATGCAAATGCTGGTCTGTCTTTGGGCTCTTGAGAAATGGGACTGACACCTCTTTATCCAACAGACACGTTACATAAAGTCTGATGGCATCATATAATTATAATGCTGTGAAATGCATTGTATTTTATGTAACTGGCTAATATGATAACCCTATGATTTGCATTTCTTTGAAAAGGAAAAAGTAGGCTTCACATTTGCACTCTTCTTAGGAAGAAAAAGAGATCTACATTTTCTATTTTATTAATTATACCATTTGACTCATATGCCATTCCTGGAACTAGGTGGAACATTCCAGTAATGATAAATGAAGTCACTTCTATTTTCAACATCTTTAGACAGTACCTGTGAATTTTATTTGGTGTCTCCGTATGCATGAATAAGAACATGTATTTAGTGGGGCCATAATGACAGGAATTTGAGATGTTACTCAGCTAAATGAGTTCTAAAAGTAAAAGTCTGGATTCCCATATTTTGGAGCAAAAGCTCTAGTATATTTTATTAAGGATGTAGAAAACTCCTCACTAAATATTTTAATATTCCAGGGAATGTCCCATTTTTCTCCCAGAAACTTTCCGATTCATTTCTCTGACAACATATAATGCTCTAGATCAGACCTTAGTCAATTTGAGATATGTGGACTTCAACTCCCAGAATTCCCCAGCCAACAGGACGTTAACTGTATGATAAAAAGAGAGAACGGAAAAAAATGAATAGTCACACAGATAGCTGCATTATATTATTATATGTGATTATTTTTATTTCTTTGCTGTTGCTTTGAATGAAATCTTTCTGGCTTTCTGAGATTGATAACTTTTGGATGAAGAAGCTAGTAGTTGTGTAATTAATTATTGCTATTTTCTTTGAAATTAAAATGCCATGGCTCTTTTGTTGCTCTAACATATTTTTAAAAATTTCTGATTGCTTGTTATGCTCCCTCTATTGTTCCCAATCATGTATTGCAACATGCAAAATAAGTTCTTTTAAGTTCCGTAATGCAAAGCTCATAGAAAAAGCATTGCTA